GAACCACACGACCTCTCGGAGGCGGGGGTCTTGCCTGCTCACCAGCTTCATGCTGAGCTCGAAGGGGGCCTCAGTAGGTCGGTGATGCCAGGGAAATTCTCCCTCTGGTTTTGGGAACCTGCATCGACAAACAGAGAGCAGAGACACAGAAAGGTATTTCTGGCTTTGTAATTAACGGGCCTTTATTTACTATCAGGCGCTTCAAAGGGCTGCGGATCTCTACCAACAAGAGAGTCACTTATGAAGCAGATTGTGGAACTGGGAGATGACGCAGGAGACTGCTTTGATATTGTTCCTATTAAAAAAAAAATAATATTCCCCGACTTCTTAACCTTGGCCAGGAGGCAGAGAGGCTGTGACACGCACTCTCAGCCCATTTCTCACCGGGCCAGTGTAAACACCAGAAGCAGACAGGCTCTTCGGCTGCCTCAGCAGAAACATCAGCAGCTCAAGCCAAGCATCTACACACACATTCAAGTTCTGATGTGCTGAACGGGATTTAAACCTTTTTTTTCCCTTTTTTTTTTTCTTTTTGGAGTAGAGACAGAATTAAAACGTGGAGCGTAACATCCGTGTGAGCAGTTTGCTGAGCGGGGCTCGCAGCCGGCCGGGCGCTGCCAGGCACGCTCTCCCCTCCCTTTCTTCAGCTGCCTCCACGGCACCGACCCCACCAGCTCCGTCGGACCAAGGTGCCGTCCTGGACATGCAGGGTTCTCCCAGCCTTTCCACCGATCAGAGACGGCATCTCCGGGACGTGCCGCTCGCACCACTTCGCCCTCGCCACCTGCAATTTCCCAGTATTTTGGCAGGGGTCCTGGGCTCCAGAGGGAGGGCATCTGCCTGACAAGCAACTCGCATATGCTAAGGTGGCTCTCGGCCACCTCTTCGCTGCAAACCTCACCTGCGAGGTTTAAACCACCCCGTAGAGACCCGCTGCTTCCTTTTCTGAGTGATCCTGGATTGACAGATCGTGGGACCAGCCGTGAGAGCTGCTGGCCCGGCGCCACGACAGGCAGGCGGGATCTGATCGGCAGCTTTGTGAGAGAACATGTTTCTTCCGCTGGTTCCCCAGCCACCAACTGCTTTTCAGTTGGAGGAACAGAAGACCCGCAGCCCTCGCTCGGTTCCAGCGACACCACATCCTGCGCTGGTTCCCACCTGCCATCCCCAAACCCGAGGGGTTTTCCTATTGATCCTAACGATCTAAAACCCGAGGTTTTCCTATTCCCATTTTACTGATGGAGGGAAAAAACCAACCTGGCAGGTTAAAAACTGCAGGAGAGAGCAGAAAGCAAGTATCAGCAAAGCAAAAAGCAAGATCCAAACACGCTCATTTAAAGCTCCGGTCCCCAACCACAGGTTACGCTTCCTATTCAGCCCCACACAAAAGTTTTGGGTTGGCTCCTTTTCTCTCCTCTTGCTCCAGAGCCTTCACAGCTACAGACAAAGCAACTCGTGGGAGGCACGTCCTCCCGAGGCGTGAAGCTGCAATGTTATTTCAAGCGAGGGGGATGCTTCAGCCCAGCTGTAAATTCTATTAAAGCGCATTCGCAGCTGCAAATCCTATCAAAGCACGGCGGCAAAAACGCGTCCCAGCGCTCTCAATAGTTTTTAAAAAGCGGAGAAAAAGCCTCGTGCGAACGTGCCGAGAAGGCTCAAAGCAAACGGCTTTAAAAAGCCCGTTTCTGTCACGACGCAGCACACCTTGTCACGGAAAACCAGCCCAGCCTACAAAAAGCTGCAGCCCACCACCACCGTCACGGCGTCAGAGCTGGAATGTCTCTGCCCCGAGAAGCGCCGCGTGAAAGAGCACCTGCACGAATGGAAAAAGGACATGAAAAGGCAGAAGTAGGCTAAAAATATTTCAGCTGAAAAAGAGGCAAAGCGTTAATTAACGACGTCTTTCTCGCCGTGTTCTGCCTTTCCCTTTGCTCTCAGATTCGGATGGCGTTTTTCTCTGAAAACCGTGCTAAAAAAAGGACGTGAAAACGAACAAAATAGAGGCTGGGTAAATTATCACGTAAATGAAAATACGAATCCGGCAAGGTCTGCGAAGCCGCAGTGGAGAGCGGTTACCACCCGGTGGCAGCAGGCCCTCGCCACAGAGGCTTTTCCTCCCTCCACACCAACCAGCTCCTGGCTGGGGTACCGGGATTCCCATCGGGAAACTGCATCCCAGAACGCTCCAGAGCAACGGTCTGGGCATCCCGGTGCTTCTCCAACCTGCTCTTCCATTCAAGAGACGCTCCAGGCATATCGAGAAACCTGTTCTAACCAGGACGCCGAAGAAACGCAGCCGGGTTTTGGAAATCCCGCTCACCAAGCGCTGCTTCCGTGGGCCTGGGAGCTCCCGGCTCCGCCGCCGCTTTCCCTCCTGCCCGGTTTCGGCCGCGGGTCCGGAGGCTGCAGCGCCAGCACTGCTTCGCCTGCGTCTGAATGGAAACGGGGAGGTTTTGACCCTTCGCGCCTCTTGTAACAGCCCGCACGTGTGAACAAAACCTATTCCGGATCAAAGCACAACGCGACCCCTCAGTTGGGACAACGGACCCGCTGAGCAAACGCTGGAGCTGCGGGTATTTCGCTCAGGTCCGAGCCAAGCGGCGCCGCGGTCGCTTCCCCGAGTCTTTCCACCTCCGCTGTCGCCCGCAGCGACGCGACAACCCCCGCCGGGTGAAGCGCCCCCGCCCGCAGCGGGGACCCGCGCTCCTCTGCCGCTTTCAGACGGGCAAGGGCGTCGCGGCCGACACCCGGTGTTCGGGGGGATGGGAGCGAAACGCGGGATTGTTTCCCCGTGGCCGGAGCTGAGCCGGGCTGGCGATTCGGCGACGCTCCAGCAGAGGTTCGAGACGGTTGAGGAGTCAACAGGGATGTTTTCAGGATCAGGGAGTTACCGCTCGTGCGTTTATTCACGGACCGGCGCTCGAGCCCGTGCGGGACC